TCCTGAATTCTCAGAGGCAAAGAGAGAGTCTGAGACCACCGACTTCAGTGAGTAGGAAAAATGCAGTCACTTTTGACATCATTATGCAGATAAATTTTGATAATACTTAAAAGATTTAGTTCCATAGAGTTAGTTTTGATGTTGCAGAGCAGAAGTTGCTAATTAGCTGTACAATTGGCGCAACATTGAAAATCTTGACTGTTTAATACAAAATAGGGATTCCTGGTTTCTCTTGGAATAAAATCTGATATCTAGCATTTCCATATGGTCACAATTAAAGTTTGAAATGGTAACTAATTATCTTAGTTAAGAGCATAGATGTTTGATGCCATCAAGTTGACTATGACTCTTGTGGCAAATTAGAATTTACAACCCTTGATTTTTAGATGGTTTGTCAAGGCCTTATATTAAAGCCAAATATTACTTTTTAGCATAAGCTTTAAAGTGTAATTTTTTAAATAGCTTTTTTAAAAAAAATCATAGAGCATTTTCAAACATTAGAATGAAATTAAATCTTTTGTTATTGGTAATTTTATTTTTATTAATTTTAATGGAAGTTTGTATACAGACACTTAGGGTTTCCAGTCATTCATTGTTGCACTTTCCCCCTCCCCCCATTCACTCTTTCCTTGAAAAGTAAAAGAAAAAAATTCTTTTGTTGCTATGCAATCCCTTCCCCCCAAGTCCACTCCACTGTGCAGCCTTCATTCTGGACTCCTGTCATGACAATAATACCCAATCATATATTCCTTTTAAAAACTTTGTTCCCTCATTTGTTTCAATGCAGTGTACATCATTCCTTCTTTCCTTCTATCTTCCCTCAATCCTGATGATAGTCCTGTTTTACAACAGTAGCCCTATGCAATATTTGTCCTTTTGTGACTGAGATATTTCACTCAGCATAATGTCCTCCAGGTCATCTATTTTGCTTAATATTTCATGAGTTCCTTGTTTTTCAATGCTGCATAGTATTCCATTGTGTGAATATACCAGAGCTTCTCTATCCGTTCGTTTGTTGATGGACACCTGGGTTGTTTCCAACCCTTTGCTATTGCATACAAAGCCGCAATAAATACGGGTGTGCATATATCTGCTTGGGTGGCAGTTATGTTTTCTTCAGGGAAAATTCCCAGTAGTGGAGTTGCTGGGGCAAATGGTACTTCTATTTGCAACTTTTTGAGAAAGTGCCATACAGCCTACCGTAGTGGTTGCACCATTTTGCACTGCTACCACCTTCTCCACAACGTCACCAGTATTTGATGTTTGCTTTTCTGTTAAATTTTGCTATTCTTCCTGGGGTAAGATGATATCTCATAGTTGTTTTGATTTGCTTCTCTCTTAGAGCTAGGTATTTTGAACATTTCTTCATGTGTTTGTTTGCCATCTGAATGTCTTCTTGGGTGAAGTGTCTATTCATATCCTGTGCCCATTTTTCAATTGGGTTATTTACCTTTATCTTGTTGTGGTGCTCGAGCGAGTATTTTATAAATTCTAGATATAAATCCCTCTCTGACATGTCATTACCAAATATTTTTTTCCCAGTCTGTGGCTTCCCTTTTTACCCTGTTGGAGAAGTTTTTGGGTATAATATTGAAATATATTATTATCTTTTAAGTCCCTCAGATACTCTTGCTTTCTTGCTTTATTTCCAGTGAGATTTTATTTTTAAAGTGCAAAACTCAATTTGATTTCTCTATCCATATGGATCTTGGGTTAAAGCAGAGTACCTGAGGGATATCTGTCTTATTTTTCATTGACTATGCAAAGGCATTTGACTATGTGGATCACAACAAATTGTGGTTAACCTCGAGGAAAATGGGAATCCCAGAACACTTGATTGTGCTTATGTGAAACCTACACTTGGACCAGGAAGCAGTCCTCAGAACAGAGCAAGGAAACACTGCATGGTTTAAAATCAGGAAGGGATTGCATCAGGGATGCATCCTGTCTCCATATCTTTTTAATCTATATGCAGAACAGATCATTCTGGCAGTAAGGGTTTATGAGGAGGAATGTGGCATCAGGATTAGAAGAAGACTTATCAACAACTTGGTTATGCAGATGACACAACCTTGCTTGCTGTAATGGAGGAAGATCTGAAACATTTGTTGCAGATGGTCAAGGACTGTAGTCTTCATTATGGATTGAAGCTCAACATCAAGAAGACAAGAATTCTCACCACTGGGCCAATTGGCAGCACCATAATGGATGGAGAAGAGATTGAAGTTTTTAACAGTTACAGTATGCTCGGCTCCACAATCAGCACTCTTAGTACCAGCAGTCAGGAAGTCAAAAGATGAATTGCATTAGCTAAATCTGTTGTCAGAGAGACCTTTCCAGAATACTGAGAAGCAACAATGTCATTGTAGACACTAAGGTGCGTATGAAGGAAAATTGATGCCTTTGAGTTGTAGTGCTGGAGAAGAGTCTTGAACTGTCAAGAAAATAAATAGGTCTGTCTTGGAGAGGGTGGAACCAAGTATCTCCTTGGAGGCAAGGATTTTGAAACTCCATCTCACATGTTGCCAGGAGAGACCCATCCTTGGAGAAGGACATCAAGCCGAGAAGGGTAAAGGTACAACAGGAAAGGAAGATCCCGGATGAGATGAATTGATAAAGTAACCAGGGCAAAGGGGGTAGTTATGCCAGAGTCAGTGAGACTGGCTAAGGACAGGGCAGGTTTCAAGATTTTGTACATAGGGTTGTTACGAATTGCAGGGAACTCAATGGCACAGAACAACAATATTCATTTATAAAAAATTTTTATTATAAAACTAAATTTGTCTAGAATTATGATGTCTTAAATTTAAAAGTCCTATTGTGAAAGATTAAGTTATACCCATATTGTTTTGTTTTGCATACATGTAATCAAAAAAGAAGGCCTGAGTGAACGGCAGCAGTCTGGATTATCTGCAAATTTATCATCCAAACGTCGGAGGATATCCTATCGGAGCAACTCTAATGAAAAGCTAACTGACCTGGAAAAAAGAGGACTTGATCTCCACTTAATCAATACGGATCCCCTTCTTAGTACAGACAGAATATGTACTGTTGATACTTTACCTGCAGATGTTTCAGAGGTAATTTATTTGCTTAATACACAGGAACATAAATCTTTGGTTTTCTGCTTTCACAATTTTAAGACTGCTATTTTTCCAAGTATAATTCTTTTATGATTGATGTACATATGTAAATAGAATTTAAAATGACTTATGTTTTTGTATATCTTTCCTACATTTTATCTTTGTTTGATTTATTAATGGTTATTGTGCATAGTTTTGATATTTCATAAAAACATTAAGTTCTATGGCCTTCTGTTTGCAAAGTTTTCCTAGTCACTGATAGCACAACAGTGAGTAAGTCACAGTTTTGCCATTGAAACTTTTTGTCTCCTGGGGAATATAAAACATAATTTGTAAATATGATTGGTAAATTCTTATTCATTGCCATTGAGTCAGAACTGGTTGATAGCTCATTGTCTGTTGTATTTCCTAGGTTGTAAATTGCCTAGGAGAAGATTGCCCATTTTTCTCTTAAGGAGCATCTGGTCAGTGCGAACCCCAGAGATGTCTTTAAATTAGCAGTGCAACTCTCTGTGGATTATGCTACCAGCGCTCTCTAATTGGAGAGGAGAAGAGAATGACATGTAATCATCAGTTTTGAAAGTCTTGCCTTGTAACTGCTTTAGTACTGGCTAGGAAGCTGGACATTTTGCCTCCTTTGCTCTGTTTACCTTCTGAAAGTAAATGTAGAGAGATTTTTACTTTATCTCTCTTAATCTTGGAAAATTATAGATGATAACCAGTATGAATTTAGAAGAAAATAGTACAACTGAAGAGCTTGCACTTCGACGAAAATGTAGATGGGAAGGTAGTTCACCATGATTGACTTCCTTCTTCATGATCTTGGTTATGATATGGTTAATTAGCTTCCATTTTTCAGTAAGAAGAGGAGGCACTTAATACTATTAAAAGTTAGAATTGAAAAAAAAAAGTTGGAATTTTTTTTTTAATGTTTTGATCATGAAAGATTCTTTGAAGTGAGGTGTCATTTCTGTCTCTGAGCCACTTATTATTTGCTTCTTCTGCTATATTTAAAATAATATAAAATTATTATCTAACAGAAGCAGTAATAATTATTACCAGTGTATTAAATTGTGGAACATAAATCATAAGTTAGAACTAATTTTTTTTCATGTATATTATTTCCTATATTAACCATTAACCTACTTCTCAGATTACTGATGTAGTTAGGTTTCAAATACCAGTGATTATTTGAAATCCTGGTGTCATGAAAAGAAAACAAATGAAAATGACTACATCATTATATAACTGCCTAACTATATATCATTATTTGACTTTCAAATTGCAGGAAGTCATAGTCAAGGCAAATTGATGTATAACCTCAACAACCATGACAGCCAGCATTGAATTTGCCTCTCCTTGGATTGGTACTGCTAGATGTCCATCATCAATAAGCCAAATAGTTGGATGGTAGATTTATTGTTATAAAAGGGAAATATATAACAAGTTAGTGATTTGTTAGATGTAGGTATTCTTTTTTTCTTATCTTAGCTATGCTATCTTTCGTTGTTTGATTGGTAGTTACATACCATTTTTCTTTGACTGTTTCATCTCCCCAAAATAGCAGTTAACATTGTTTTCTAGACATCAGCGAGCAAGGCAATTAAAATATGTCCTTTACATTTTCCTGTGGAGTCAAGAATGTTCTGTGTAGGATATTCAATATGTAGTGATAATAAATATTCTTATCAGATTTCTATATCTTTTTATAATAGTTAGCTAGGTAATGGAAGCAATGGATTTAATTTTAGATCTTTTTTTCCTTCAGGTAATGGGTCATTTTTACCGAAATCTAATAAAGATATCAGTGATACTCTAAGTAATAAAATGTAATTTATGCTTTAATTTTTTTCTCCCCAAGAAATCTTCTAGACCTGACTTAACACAGCCTGGAGGTTTGATTGAAGAGTCAGTTTCACTTTCAGGCCTCAGAGAGGTTTCACGTGGTAAGTATTTAGTGTTTCTTTCCATTCATGTGCCGCATCACTTATCAAGACATTTATCAGGAGACATTTATGTTTGGTGTACCTAAATGTTAAATTAGGGGAAAATACAATTAGTTGAACTATTCTAATTTTTAGAAGATCATGGCCTAGTAGAAATGGTGAAAAATTCTTTTTATGCATATCCTTTCTTCATACCTATTCAGTCAGTATGCTGAACAAGTTGTTCGAGAAGTTGGAGTCTTGCGAAGAAGAATGTGTCTTTTTACGATTAAAGGAAAATTTGTTAACCTGGATTCAGTATTATGCACATGCCATAGTCTTGCTTGCAGAAGGTAAAGAGGGCTTGAAACACTTGATGCAGAAGATTAAAAACTACGGGCTGCATCTCAATATCAAGAAAACAAAAATCCTTGCTACTGGAAGAATAGACAGCATCATGATACACAAAGAAAAACATTGAGATTTTCAGGAATAGAATTTTATTTGTATCCACAGTCAACACCTGTGGTGGTAGTAATCAGGAAATTTTTTTTAAAAAAAGTATTATATTGGGAAAATCTGCTGTCAGTGACTTCTTCAAAGTGCTAAGGAGGATGGTGTCAGTTTCAAGACTAGGGTGTGCCGAATCTAAGTCATGGTTTTTCCATTGCTTCCTAAGCATCTGAAATTTGGACAGTGAATAAAGATAACACAAGAATTGAGGTCTTTGAATTGTGATATTGCTGAAGAATTCCAATTTCTGTCTTATGGACTGCCAAAAGAACAGACATGTTCTTTGAAATGTAGCCAGGGTGCTCTTTACAGGCAAAGATGATGAAATTATGTCTCATATACTTTGAATGTCTTCTCAGGAGGGACCTGTTGTTGGAAAAAGACATCATGCTTGGAAAGGTGGAGGGTCAGCATGAGAAGGGATAGTGACTGACTACCTTGTGGAAGTGATATTGACAGAGATTGTGAGGGTCTGGGCAGGGTTCTGATCTGCTGTTCATTGGGTCATTGTGAGTCAAAGTTGCCTTGATGGCACATAATAGCAATAAGCATAAGATTGAGTGAAATATTTTGAGGCTGTTAGAATCTCTTATAAAGAGTAAGACCTAGGGAGCTCTCAGGTGGCCTAGTGGCAAGAAGCTGCACTGCAATCCCAGAGGAATGTGGTTCGAACCCACCAGATGCCCTGCTGTAGAAAGAGGGGTAGTCTCCTCCTGTACCAGTCAGATCCGATTTGACACACACACAAAAATAATAATAATAATAATAGAATAAAACCTATGAATGAACATATTTATGGGTACATGTTATTAGAGAAATGGTTGTCTTTGTTTGTTTATAAAAATGTGTAGAGAGTTCTCAGTTCCTGAACAAATGAAAGGTGTCTTACCATCTCTTGGCATCTCTTCAAGTGTATTCTTTGCATTTCTTCTATAGCATAGATTTAGAGTTCCCTTATATAGGACCCACTCCATTATCAAATAGTTCCCATTACTTGTTCTCTTTTAAAAACCTACTATCTGAGTTTTCTCCTCACTGTTTTAATTACTTTCTGATTAACATGCTATAGTGTGTGCTTAGCTCACATCTTAAATTTTTCATTGACCCAGGATTTCCTTCAGGTCATAGCTCCATTTTTTTGTTCTCTTCTAAAGCAAGGCTCCACTTAAGAGCAAGCTGTACTACAAAGAGTAAGTAAAATTATTTCTGTTTGTAGATTACATAATCCTGGGCACAGAAAATCCCAAAGACACAACAAGAAAATTACTGGATAAGGAGCTCTAGTGGCTTAGTGATAAGGAGTTACATTGCCAGCCCAAATACACATGGTTTAAATCCACTAGCTGCTTCTTAGAGAGAAATGGGCAGCTTCTTCTTGTGTGATTTACTGCTTCTGAAAAGGTCAGCTATGTGTTGGTTTGACCTTTGACAATACATATCAACAACAGCAATTGGTCAGTTTAGCCAGGTGGCAAGGTACAAGATCAGTATACAAAAATCAGACTGATGACTGTCCAGTAACAGAAAACTTGGAAAAAGATAATAAGGAAAACAATGCCACTTAGAATAGCCACCCAAAATATGTAATATTTAGGAATAAATCTAACCAGAGGTACAAAAGATGTATTGTTGTTGTGTGCCATTGAATCGCCTGCAATTCATAGTGATCCTATATACAACAGCCCTGAAGCCTACCCTATCCAGAGCCAGTCTCACTGATTCTGACACACTTACCCTGTTATCCTAGTTACTGTATCAATCCATCTCATCCTGGTTTTCATTTCCTGTGTGCTCCCTCCACCTTTTAAGCATGATGCCCCTCTCCAGAGACTGGTCCTTTCTGGCCTCGTTCACAAAGTATGTTAGACTGAGCTTCAAAATGCTTGCCTCCAAGGAGAAACTTGGTTTCACCCTCTCCAGCAAGACAGACCTATTTGTATTATTGGTGACCCATGGTATGTTCAGTATTCTTCAGTACCACACCTCAAAGGTGTCAATTCTTTTTCTGTCATCCTTAGTCATTGTTCAACTCTCTGATGCATAGCAAGTAATTGTGAAGACTATGACCTGATTAAGGCATATCTTAGTCCCTAGACTAACATTACTTTTTAACACTCTGGAGAGGTCTCTGAGAGCAGACTTTCCCAGGGCAGTTCATCTTTTGATTTCCTGACTGCAAGTGGAGCTGAGCAAACGGAAATTGTTAACAACCACAGTCTCTTCTCCATCTTTCATGGTGCTGCCAGTTGGTCCAATGGTGAGAATATTTATCTTCTTGATGTTGAGCTTCAATCCATATTGAAGACTGCAGTCCTTAACCTTCTGCAGTCAACATTTCTAATCCTCAGTTTCAGCAAGCAAGGTTGTGTTAATCTGCATAACATAGGTTGTTAATGAGTCTTTCTCCAATCCTGATGCCACATTCCTCCTCATAAATCATAGCCTCCCAAATTATCTATTGTGTATACAGATTGAAAAGGAATGGAGACAGGACACATCCCTGATGCATTCATTCCCTTCTTGATTTTTTTTTTATTAATTTCAGTGAAAATTTATAGAGACTTTGGATTTCCATTCATTCATTGTTGCACTTTTCTCCCCTCCCAACCCTTTCTTAACTTTGAACCATGTAGTGGTCCCTTGCTGTGTTCTGAGGACTGCTTGCTGGTCTAAGTTTTGCATAAGCACAGTCAGTTGTTCTTGATTCTTCTCAAGGTTAGCCACAATTTGTTGTACACATAGTGCTGTACTTTTGCATAGTCAATGAAACAGACATTTCTCTGGTACTCTTTGCTTTTGGCCAAGATCCATCTTACATTGGTAATAATATCTCTAGTGCTATGGTCTCTTCTAAACTCAGCTAGTACTTCTGGCAATTCTCTGTCCTTGGAGACCTCTTGGAAGGTCTCCATGAGCAACAAGCATTAGGTGGGACTTAGGCTTATTATAATTGGCTTATAATGGCTTTTCTTTATTTCATTCATGTGTCTTCTGTGTTATTTCTTACCATATATAATTTCTGTATCATGCATCTTACTGTATCATTTTCCTAAATAGCAGTTTTTACTATTTGCTATTTATATTTGTGTATAAAAATATGCATATATGTGTTTGATTTTATATTTTGACATAATTATAGATTTATATGCAGTTGTAATGTATCTAGATTGATGTAATCAATATAACTTTCACTTAGTTTCCTCCAGTGATGACTATAGTGCATTCACATTGGTACAACCCATTGATTTTTTTCCCCCAAGTGTCTTCTATTTACATGCATTAATTTGTATGTGTATCTTGTTCTGTGCACTTTTGTCATGATACAGATTCATGTGGTTGGACCTTAGTC